TACAATATTCTATGGGAAAAAAAAGTAATATGTGAGTATTGCTGGCAAAAAAAAAAATGTTAAATCTATCATTACAGGAAAAAAAGGCGCAAATTCCAAGACCTGCCTTCACCATTGATCTTTTATAAACTAAAGGCAAAAATCTTGGAATATTATATCTATCATCATTATAGTTCTCTTTCTTGTTTCATTGATGACTCTTTCATTTCATGTCTGCTTCAAACTTTCTTGTATGTTTGTTCCATGTGCATATAAACATGTGTTTGATCACCGAATTACTTTCTTTTCATTCAAATCCTCATCTTATGGTGACCATGAAAAATGTGCTATTTTACTGCTGATCAATGCAGCTGGTAACTTTCTTCTGAACATCGACTAATCCAAATGCCGATGACCTTCAACTGTTTATGGATCACAGAAACAAGAGACTGATTCAATTTTACCTGCTTGTGGTTAGAACGCATAGTATACAAGCAAGGGAGGAAAGGGTATGTTGGATAGATTTACTCACAACATTATTCTGAGGCTCCCTCCAGTAGAATCCCTGGACAAAAACTGGCAAGATGTTGCAGCCTATGAGAATGTAGATCATTAGTGCATGCCTCCCCAACCATTCCATGGCCAAGGTTGGCTTCCTATAGCCACATACATCAACCTGTACCCATCAAGAACCATAAGCATTAAACAGTATTACAATAACATTTGAGATGGAAGCTCAGCTGACCAGTTTTATCGAGTGGTAGAATGGAAATGTTTAAATAGAAGAGAGTTTTGGATCTCTTACCAGCACATACACTCCAGTAAAGAGAATCCCTGCAGCTCCAGCAGTGACAAGTGTATAACTTAATGTGTACAAAGCCTTGTTCATATGAATTCCTGTGATGAAGACAAGTTCAGTTGCTCAAGTTTACGTAGAACTCCATTCTAAGTGACATGAACAAGAAGGGGCAATTTGGTGGGCACCACAAAAGTCCAAGGAGAAGGCCAGGGCTAACATCCAGAAGGAAGGAATCAACCACCGGACAATTCTTTCCTTGTGATCCTGCAGTCCACCACGTTGGAACAGTGTTATAAATTCATCGCAAAAAAGTTATTCATGATTCAAAGACAGATTAAGGAAATACCAGGACCTTGAAGTGAATGATGACATGCCCGAATTGCAACCCGATCAAACAAGTAACAATCGCCATGACAGAACTGCAGCATCGACTAATATTATTTTCAGGGGAAAAAAGGGCCAATACGAAGAGACTAGAGATTAAGTTGCCAAGGGAAGTGACAACAGCTGACCTGAGCAGTCCTTCAGGATCAAAAGGAGCTTGGCACCATGGAGGAGCATCAGATGCAAGTGGGCCACTAGCTGGTGAATTTACGCTGCATTGCTAAAGACACAGCAAGAAACTAAAATGTTAGGAATGGAATGAAAAAAATAAGGAATAATCCATAAAGTAGAGTTGGTATATGTTAGAAGAACCTTCGTTCTCTCGTAAGCAGGACGTCGATAGAGATGCTGGATGCCAAGGACTTGGCGGTCAATCATTCCCACAGCATTGCAAGCAGGTCCTGTGTCACCCCTCACCCCACATTTGACCTAAGATTTAGAAATATTGATTATTATATATTGAATGATTCAACTAAAATGCATCTGCAGAGGCGACAGAAGTGTGTAATGGAATGCATTGGACTTACTGAAAAGGTCATAGGCTTGGAGCCTGCCACTGCTATCTGGTATTCCCAGTCAGGAACATGTAAACCATAAAGGAGAACCAAGTAAATGGTTGTAAGAATGAGAGCCACCAACCTATGTGGAGAAAAGAAAGCTGCAAGTGAGACAGAGATTCATGGATAAAAAGGCTACTAAAGTTTTTTTTTTGCCAATAATTTCTTCTATCTATCCACTAGCTTTCTGTCGCATCCTAGAAAGATTATGATCGAACAAGACTTCATTATCATCAAAAACACCAAGTCATACTTACAGTTGAAATTGGCATCGCCTAACCAGGCAGTATCCAGAATTAACATCATCATCATCATCATCATTTCTAAGCCAGATTTCACATAGTGCAGCCAGCAGATAGGCTATTGCAATTCTCTGCAAAAACACAGTTGAATAAATAATCTTAGAAAGGCGAAAATTCATTATAACAATGCCTTAAAAGATCTAAGGGATGATATGGAGTTCTGACATTTGCATCCTTCGACCTGCAGGATTTATTAGTGAATTTATCGTTAAAAAATATCTATTTTCATCCATTTTGTTTTAATTTCACTCATCCAAAGAAATCAAAATGGTAGATTTATTAGTGAATTTTGATCACTCCTTGAGACATAAGAGATGTGATTCAATTCCAACTAAATAGTTTGGAATCGAAATTATGCTTAAACGAGAATGATTGTTTATGACTCATTACGAAGCTTAATGATTGATGTCCTACCTGAAGTACACCCATCCATCGTATCCTCAAGATATCAACTCCATAGGTCAAATTGTGAAGGCCGTGAAAATAGCCACCTAAGAACATAATTATTAACTTAGCAAGTGATCAAATTATTAACATAAAATCTATAATCATGGTATCTGTAATGCGAAAAAAATTTTATGTCAAGATTGATATCAAATAAAATTAGATCTAACAATATTACGATGCATACCTATTCATTATTGTTCAGAACAATAAACTTTATCTGCGCACTATCGTCGAATCTGAGATATGAATATGCAAGGAGAACTAGATTCGAGAACTAGATCATTCTAGGAGGAAGGGTTGAGAGAGAGAGATTGTAATCTCTCAATTGAATCCTCTATGAGATACTTCTTTTTAATCCCTAGAGGTTCTATCTATTTATAGGTGAGAACAAAGAGTATAATAAATTATTAGGAGAGTTCCTCTCATCGAGGTTATCTGTTAAGAAATCCTATTTAAACATGAACATCTTTTCTATTGGTCAATAACCATAATCAGAATTCAATTATATCTATAATATATCTTATCTAATTAAATACGATCACATAATCTAATACTTTCAAGGCATTAAGAAAATTAACAAGTTTTGCTTGAATAAATATACTGCAGTATGATATATCTGTCATAATAAACAAGAAAAAGTCGTATACCTTGAACAATAAGGCCTACAATGAAGAGCTTCGTTGCTCGAAGTACAGCTTTCTTGGTTGCTGCGGCCTTGTTTGAGACTCTCTGCACATAAAGTGGAGTCTAAACAGAACCATTTTGGTTTTATCCTTCTACACTTCTGAAGAAGTTTACCTTCTGATATCTAGCAAATGAAAACTTCAAAAAAAAAAGAAAAAGAAGAATAAAAGATTTTTTTGTCAATCCATTAGGCTTACCTTATACGTAAGTGCCAATGCAACTCCAACTATTAACAAGAAAAATGGCATGACAAAATCAGCAAGGGTTATGCCATCCCATGGAGAATGGGTGATTGCAGGAAAAAATGCTCCAGCATCATCTACGAAGATCATGAGCTGCAACAAATGACAGTTCTATAAACATTTTCTGGATGTAACAAAACTTCCTACGAAACCAGAGGTGTAAGTACGTCAAAGCATGTTTCTTGATTTGGTTTTTCATAAATTCCATTTGAACAAAAGAGCAAAAACATAATATCTACAATGTTAAATCCTTAATACAAAACTTTCTCATGTCTATAGTTTCATATCGATGATCCTTATACCAAATGAATTATTGAAAAGCACATCAGAAACTTTTCACATCAATTGGGAGTTTGTGATCTTCAGTTGAACTTGTTAAATGTCACTATGAATAATGTATCACATTTGGGAAAACGAAAACATATAATTGTTATGATATAAAAAAATCGAGAACACGAAAACTCAATCCGAAGCCACAAAACTGAGGCTTCAAAACTTGGATGCGAAGGGACAGGAATTTAGTCAAAGTTATACACATATTACAAAATGCCTTAAAAGTGGCAGCTCTAATATACTGTTTTTTCTGCTCCACTTGAACTTGGTGACCAGAGACTCTGTTTTAGGAGCAGCACCCTACTTCCGGCGGCGAACCCAATTAAAGAGTGGATGGTCAGCTAAAAGGAATGGCTTAGCAACTGGCCAAAGGGAGCAGATAGAGACGCACCAACCTTGATACTATATGATACAAGTGTGTGAAGCACTTGGGCCATCCTGATAACTCAGAAGAACTTGAGAACTACTGTTGTACGTACAGATTCTTTAACGAAGGGTGGGTGCCAGGAAGCAAAGCAACAGCAGAAGAGCAGCTTCTGTCTTGCTGTCCCGCTCACTCAGTGGAGCTGTCATATAGTGGGCTCCTGCACCTGTCGTGTTCACTCAAAACAAAGTTCGATGAGGTGAAAGAAGTGGCTGCGTTGGCCAGGTCACTTCTCCCTACGGAGCCGGATGGGTCAACCCAGCTCGATCTCAAACCATAGACTTCAATTGTTGTTGTACGTCACCAACCACAAGGCTAACTTCACGGGAGAAGGATTAAAAAGGAAAGCAAGTCTACATCTAATGGGTTCGACAGGTACGACCGCCGTAGGAGCCATGCCCGAGCTCCACTAATGGCGGATGGCCGTGCTCACCCACAGAGCATCATGGTGAATAACCTTGGTTGGTCCATCTCCAAGTACAGCAGTCGAATTCAAAGACGGTGGAGGAAGGAGCGACTGCCCTGCACGCAGCAACGGCAGTGATACCGTGATCGAATGATTTCATCTAAAAGTGGGATTGGCGAGGATCCACGGCCTTGGACTGACCCGACATGGTATCCCACGACTAAGGCATAAAAAAGAGATGGCTGTCGGCCGATGACCGAGTCTTCCGGGGTTCAGCTGACGACAAAGGATTATTCTTTGTGTGCGTGTGTCGACGAAAGCTGGAAAGAGATGCAGAGGGAGTGGAGGCTGCTGTTGGCGGAAGCGAAGGATTTGAATGCACACAAGAAGAGTGAAGACCGATTGTAAGCTTCATGAACGGAGGAATAAAGTCACAAAGATCAAATATTATCCATCCAAATTTAGAATTCGGTTCCATGCCAAAGGCGATATTCTTATTCTTATTATTATTTATCCTACCCATCAAAAGTACTAATACCGAGAAAATACTTAATGATGATGAAGCAGAGATATAACTGGTGACCTTAATGCTAATAGAGCGTGATTAATTAGGATATCTATTAGTAAACTGTAGAGTAAATTCGGGGAGGAGAAGAGAGGCCAACATCAAACGTTACTGTAATTAATTATAATATTAAAGGAGATAATAAATGAATAAAAATTATATGAAAATATTAAAAAATGAAATAAAAATAATAAATTAGTGACGAGATTTTTGCGGAGATGGAAGCAACGAGGAAGAGACAGCGGACTTACGGCCACGGTCAGCCCCCGGAACACGTCGAGGGAGACGAGGCGTGGCTCCCGATTCCGGTTGGCCGGCGGCGCCTCCTTCTCCGCCGGGGCCTCCGGACCGCCGGCCTCGATGTCGGCCTTGCGCGGGGACAGAAGCGCGTCGGCGGCGGCGACGGCGATGACGCTGATCTTGCTCTCGGGCTCGGCTGCGGCCGTGGCCTCTTCGCCTTTGATGAGTTCGTACATCTCCATCTCGTGGATGAGAGGAAGATGGACAGAAGAAATGGAGGAGAGAGGGAGCAGTTCTCCTCCCCTTCCAAAACTGAAAGGAGGAGGAGCAGGAGGACGAGGGAGGGGGAGAGGTTTAGAGGGATACGGTAAGGGATCGGGGGTGAAGGGACGATGTGTCTTCAGCGTTCATAACCGCTCGTTTTGTGAGTGCGGAGGGGTGTGTTGAGCGCCTTTTGGCATCCCATTGCTTCTCCTCTTGCTGTTATTTATAAGGACGAGAGTAGAGCCGCTGCATGTGGATTTATTCTTATAAGCAGCAGAAAATAAAATATATATATCGTTAAATTCTAATCCGATATATCGTTGAAAATTAAATTTAATTTCAGAAAGCCTGATTTGAGAATCGCATCCTATTTAACCAAATTAAATTAGTTAAACATTGTCTAGATACGTTTTAAACCTATGATCTCTCTCTCTCTCTCTCTCTCAAATCGTTCTAAATTATACACTAAATGTGTAGCTAGTTGGCGATCTTTTTTAATATGAATGACCCGGAGAAAATTTGATTACAACTCCTGATTACATCTTAATATAATTTCAATCTTTATATATATATATATATATATATATATGTATATATATATATATATGTATATATATATATATATATATGTATATATATATATATATATGTATATATATAAAACAATAAGGCATCATCAACCATCAAACATTCTGTGAGTGGATCAATCATTGAACTCATTCTCCAATGAGCATTTGTATTGTATCCCTAGTGTTCCCACTCGGGCAACTATAAGACTAACTGCCTCATCATTTGTACGGGTATACATTACACTAATCTATTCGGTTATCTCAATGTCCCTCTCGAGAAACCTATGACCGGGATTATTTAGGGTTTGTGTTTAAAGACGAATCAATCTCATTATCGTGATCTCATCACGATCCGATTCCTATTGCACATATTCATACACATCACAATATATTCATGCAATAGATAATATAAAATAAAAAAATATTAAATAATATAATAAGCATAAAGAATGCATATCATGTCACACATATCATCACTCATGTGATTAGCTTATAGGGCACATATGACTAGCAATCTCTCACTTGATCTAAAGCCAATCACTTATGTATCTGATCCTCATCAAACTCCTGTGACGCTCAAAGGCAATATGAGACAATGACTTTGTTAGTGGATCTATGATGTTATCTTCGGATGGAACTCTTTCCACTACTACATTTCCTCGGGCCACGATTTCTATGATCAGGTGGAACCTCGTCACAACGTGCTTAGACTTTTTATAAGACCTAGGTTCCTTTACTGGTATATAGAGGAAGTAGCCTTAGGGTTGAGAGCTACACAAACTCAAGTTTTCAATCTAGATCTAGCACAGCCAATCATCGAAAATGACAGTCATGCTTACGAGGGCTATTGAGTATCGATTGAGGATCATCATCTCTTGGTGTCATGAGAGAAATATCTCATATGTTCTTGCTCAGGCAAATCCCTAGTTAGGGTCATTAGGATTGAGAGAAAAAGAGTTCTCTAGGAGAATCCGATTAGAGCGAGACTTGAGTAAAAACCGTATGAGCTTGATAGCACCATGCCCAATATACGGTCTTTGGGATATTAGATGGATAAGTGAATATAGATACATGGTAACTAAGGATAAACAAGTCCAATGGATTGGATTCTCCTATATCGTTTGTGGACTACAACGTAGTGGCCTAGTATGTTCGTAGTCGATGAGTCGAGTGAATTAATATGAAGATAATAATTCACTGAGTCAGAAGGAGTTCTGACATGTATGAATCACGGCCAGCTCGATATTGGGCCTAAAGTGTTACACATATATAGTAGGTGTTACGGCGAGTAGAGATTCATATATGAGATATTCGCTAGAGCCTATCTTGTTGGATATCCAATAAGCCCTTAAATTATTGGATCATATGGATGAGATCCAATAAGAGCCAATACGAAATTATTGGGTGGAGACCTACTAACTAAGAGGCTTAGGTCTAGTACCCAATAGGGTAGGATCCATTATGGTTAAGTTGATAGGGGGGTCTCTATAAATAGGAGAAAATCGAATGATCATGTGCTAGACCCCTTTTGGCTGCCACCTCATATTTTTTTCTCCCCCTCTCCTCCTCAGCCAGCAGCACCTATTTGGGGTGTGTGGACAACAAGAAAGGTTGGGGCCTTTTTGATTGTGTGGTGCATGCGAGAAGGAGATCTGTGTAGCGATTTGAGGAGTATTTTTGCATCTCCTACCGCGTGGATCACTACTAGAGAGGAGGACAGTTAACCTCTTTCATTCTCTCATACAAATCTATAGGTTTTTAATGATATACGATCTCTCTAGATAACATACATCCCTTAACATACATAGTTTTTTTGCTTAATGGGTTTTTGTGTACTAATTTTCACACAACGACAAAAGATCGTTTTTCTATAAAATCTGAGATTTTTATTTTTGTTCTTCCACTACACATGTGATGTCATCCTAAATTTTCCAACAATTGGATCTTATCCACAGGATCCAATAATTCAGAGGCTTATTGGATATCTAATAAGATAAGGGCTCCAATATATATCTCGTATCCGAACCTTTACTCATCGCAACACCTATCATATGTGTGTGACCTTCTAGGCCTAATATTGAGCTGGTCGTTAGTCATATCTTTTATAACTCCTTCTAACTCAATGAATTATTATCTTCATAATAATTCACTTGACTTATCGACTGTAGACGTATTAAGTCACTATGCCATAGTCCTTAGATTATACAAGGAAATCCAATCCATTAGACCTATCTATCGTTAGTTACCATGTATCTATAGTCCTTCATCTATCTAATATCCTAGAGACCATATATGAAGCAGGGTGCTATCAAGCCTACATAGAATTTACTCGAGTCTCGCTCTAATTAGATTTTTCCAAAGAACTCTTTCTCTCTCAATCTGAATGACCATAGTCGGGGATTTGCTTGAGCAAGAATACATAAGATATTCCTCTCAGCTCATGACACTAAGAGCTATTAATCTTCTATCGACACCCAATTGGCTACTACTCTTGATGACTAGTTATGCTATATCTAAAACTTCTAGACCTAGAAGTCTGGTATCAAAGAGTTGAGTATTCATACAAAACATTCTTGGTGTCTCAAGTCTAAGGACTAGACACATAATTGGAATCATGGAATTGTTATTTGACAATAAGATATCATCAACCATCCAGCATTCCGTGAGTGGATCAATCAGTAAACTTATTCTCTAATGAACACTTGTACTATATCCCTAGTGTCACCACACGAGCAGTTATAAGACTAGTCACCTCTATTGCATGGACGGGTATATAGCACACCAATCTATCCAATTATCTCGATGTCTTTCTCGAGTGATCTATGGCTAGGATTATTTATGGTCTGTGTTTAAATACGAATCGGTCTCATTATCGTGATCTCATTAGGATCTGATTCCTATTGCATAGATCCGTGGACATCACAATATATGCAACATACAATATAAAATAAAAAAATCAATAATAATAATAATAATAATAATAATAATAATAATAATAATAATAATAATAATAATAATAATAATAAGCAAAGAGATTGTGTAGCATGTCACACGTGTCATCACTAATGTGATTGACTTGTAGGATATCTATGACTAGTAGTGTTTGGCCATATAGGTTGGATTATATTTGGCCACAAATGCTAGGTCATGTCTAGTCACATAAGTTGAATTGTACTTGGTCACATGGGTTATATCATATTTGGTCACATAAGTTGAGTCATACCTGACCATATAGGTTAGGTCATGTCTAACCACATAGGTTAAATTATGTCTAACCATATGTGCTAGGTTATGCTTGGTTACATGAGTTAGTTTGATCAATTAACTTAACTCAAGTCAAACCCCTAATTTGATCTCTCTAATTAAATTAGATTTTAATATTTTTATTTATTAAAGAGTAACTTAAATTCCTAAATTAAATAATTTAGATTCATAATCTTAAATTTAAAACTAATTAAATCATAAGAGTTCACACATAATTCTTGAAATATAGATATATCTATTAAATGAATTAGAACTATTATGTTAATCTAAATATTAAAAATTTAATAATTAAATCTATCTTAAAATTTGTTAAAGCCTAAGATACCATTATAAGTCAAATTAATATCACAAATCAACTATCAATGTTTATTAATTATAAAAATTTGAAATTAAAATATTATTACATATCATAAAATTCTAGTAATCCTAATATAAAAGATTTCAAAATATGACTATAAAAACAAATAGAGGATCTTGCCTCTCTTCGATGAATCATTTTCCTAATCCTCCCACTTTTAGAATCAACTAAGGAAAGAGGAGGAACCCTTTTATATAGAATAAGATAAACTCTCCCGAAAGACATAAAAATAGAATTTGAACTATTTATTTTTTAAAATCACATCACTCATTAGGAAATAAATAAATTAATAATTTAATTGATTGATAAATTTTCTAATTTGTCCACATAATTAAGAAAATCAATTTTAATAATTTTCTTAACCATACTACACAAAAAATATTAAAAATTTAAATAAAAAATATTATTTATTGTAATTAATTTATTATGTTAAGAAAAAAATTATCAATACTAACAACACTCTTTTCTTATGTAATATCTAGAATACCCCAATCACTTATCTTTTCTTTCTCTCTTTTTGTCACTTTTCTTATAGATCTATCCATAAGGTGAAAATAGTCCAATTATAGTACACACATTACAATGTTTTTAACAATACTTAAAAACACACCATAAAGTAATATAAAAATATTAAATTATAATATTTATTATATTATAGGATATGTTTAGAAACACATTTGAAATATGCATTAGTATTTTGGTAAAGTTTTTTCAAAGAACATCTAGCCTGGATGCTAGAATGGAATGCTTAAATGCTAATTCTATTTTAGGATAGCATTTGCAAGATGTTAATATAATTTTTTAAATTCTGTATATACCCTATGACATTATCTAAAATTACAAGATTATTAAAATAATTTAGTAAGAAATCAATATGATTTATATTTTATACAAGATGAAATTTTATTTATTTATTTTAAAAATTTTATTTTATATTTATTTATATAATATTTTTATTTATTATATATTTGGGCCATATGAATTTTTTTATAAGATTACATTCATTTATATGGTTTATTACATTTATTTACTTATTAATTTAAATAAAGATATTTATTTATTTTTAAATATAATTTTATCAAATAAACTTTTTTTAGCAAAGAATAAATAACGAAAGCAAGATTCAAGCCTAGGATCTCGTGATATACTATCAAAGTATTTAATAGCTAAACTAGTTATATCAGTAGATATTTCAAACTCTCAACCTTCGATACGAGGATCTTGTTGTAGGATAAGAGGATCTAGTGTACAACAAAATTAATGTTTAAGTCGTTATCAAACAACACTTACCTTAATACATATCTAAAATATAATTTTTATTTATTATTTATCAAACAATCGAGGCATTATACTATTGTACGTTCACTCAAATCTTTTTCTCTAATTATATATTAAAAATAAAAATATATTTTTAAACATAACTATAGTATTTTTCTTATATTCTTGAAAATAATAAAACACAATATAAAAATTATTATAAACATAATATTTTATAATATTTATAAACTTAATTTGTTTTTGTTATTCTCTGAAATCTACCATATAATAGTCGTTACACGTGCTGGTAAATTTTGAACGACCCAAATGCAGCAAATAATATAGCCATTTTTGTTTCTGGAGTTATAATACATTTTGAAGCCAATGAAGATATGCAGGTACTAAATTTCAGCTCGATCAACTTTAATCAATCGTTTTCTTTTTAACCAATAGTTGTGGCTCTTGCTAAAAAGATTCCCAATCCTTTAGTCATAAAATCTAAGTAACCTTACCAAAAAGATATAAAAGGAGTATCACTAGATTTTATGGCAGAAAGGAGGAAACACTCGATACTTCGTGCATGCGGAGAAGATTCACTTAGACCATGATAATCACTAACAAGTCTGACGTCCAAATATCTCCCTACTGCACGTATCAATACAATGGGCCGTGGTGCAACGTTGGTCCATGTCTCTCGCTTGACCACCCTTTATCAGTCTGCAACTGCTAAGGTTGGTAAGCGTACGTCAATCAATCAGAAAGCAAGCTAGAGATGTTAAGAACATCACGCAGTTGGAGAAACACCGGACCTTTAAAGTCACTTGGGGTATAAAATGTCGTAGTGGCCAGGCCGATACAGCAAGGTCACACGGGGTCTTGGCAAAAGACACACGTTTGAGGTACTGCTCTCGGTAGGCATGAAGTCGTGATGGTTCACCGTCGGGGCACTGGGGTCGCATGAGCTCCGGTCGAGATACACCACACGAATAGGTACACCTAAAGCATCAGATAAAGCTATGATGTGCACATGGTCGCTTTCCTCTCCCATTGGCTCCACCGAAGCCTTGCAAAACTGTAAGCACAAGAGATGAAAAGAATCATCAGCAGAAAATTTACCTATTCACAGCTAAATAATAGACAGAAAAAAAAAAAGTATGTACTTATCAACAAATCTGGTAATTGATGATGCATACAAACCAATAAAACCTAAGGAATCAGTTGGTATGGCTGAATGCCGTGCAAAAGAGAGAATTCTTGACCCATCAAGAGCCACAATTTGCCACAGGTTCAGGAAAAAGGCAGGTTACTTGCCTCATATCATAATGCTGAACTCAAAACATCTGCAAATTGGTAGCGGATGCAACTATAGCACTTGATTGTTATGACCTAAAAATTCCATTATGGCAAGTTCAAAGTGCAAGGAGATATTCAAGTTGAAGATTCACCAAACTTGAATTATGTATAAATACTTAACAATAGAACTAGCAGGTGCAACAGCCAAATGATTGTCTAAGATACATGTATAGATTTATTGAACCAACATGTACGAAGGGAAGAAGTATTGGCGGCATAAATCCAATCAATCTGATCTTGGACAGAACCAATCAACCAATGCCACATGAACTAGTTCAAAGACATAATGCTAAACATGCCTAAAAATGCAACTTAATATATGCAAATGAGTACAAAACTAAGGATCAGAGATTACATATAACCTGGTCCACACTTGTATTTGTTAAACCAGCAACAAATGGTTCAAAAAACTCAGCTCGTCTGCGTATTTCACCAGAAGTAACAAATCTGAAGAACATAACAACTGGCCAGCAGATGTATTTAGAAGAAATAGCTTGGTATATAGACAATGATTTAAACAGTCTAGGAAATTGCACTCACCATAATCTGAAATAGATTGATCACAACTCCTACGCAGAAGCTCCTCATGACTATAAATGCAAGCATGTTTGTTGCACCATCAATAACACTTAAAATTCGTCTTTCATAAAACAGTGTGCCATTACTTGATGCATTATATAATACAAAATGTTGCAGTAAAAAAATTTACCTTATCGAGGTTTGACTCCCTTGCAAAACACTTTCCAGCTGCTCGATAAATATCTGAAAGATACTCATAGCTATAAATGAACGGATTCGTATAGCAAATTTTACTTCATTATGGAAATAAATTGCAGATAAATGGAGAAAGGCAGCATGAACCAACATAACTAGTGGAAAGGGGCTCCCTTAAATGCCAATTCATGTTCATTTTAGATACTTCAAAAACTGTAACAGCGTTGACACTTTAAAGGACTAACAAAATATGACAGAGACTGGACCCGCTAAATCTGATTAGCCACCCACAAAGTAAGGCCTGTAGTTTACAGAACATGAAATTGGATCAGATAAAAACTTGATGCTGATCAGAATTCTGATCTGATCTAATTGAATCCTTCTAGCAATTAACAGCAAGGCTCATGTTACAGCAAACTATTCTCATAGAAGAAACCAATTCATAGAGAGATGATTGGAGTTTGTGTTGGTAGGCAAAGAGCAGCTTCTACTGTTGAACATGTTTAGAAAGCAGAAAGGAGGAACACAGGTGCAATGAGAAAAAGAACAAATAAAGAGAACAAGGGTAAACCTACAGATCCAAACTACATCTCATAAACAAATAATGTAAAATTATGTACATCATGTGGTTACCACTTCATATTAAACTATCAAAATCACCAACAATAACCAAAATCCCTAATAAGGAAAAAAAGATAACCTATTATATCCAGAAGTAAACATAAATCTGACTCAATTCAGACCTGATTTCACTCTAGTGCCTAGATGTGTCAAGTTGCACCAGCTCATGATGTGATTCAGATCTAGTTTCACCTTATCTAATTCCTAGATGTATCTGAAATTGCTCTAAATCATGATGCAAGTGAGCAACTTGATACATCTTTCAATGAAATACGCCAACCAATTCTTCTCAAAGAGTTATTTCCATAGATAAAGAAGAAGTTTAATCTCAATTATAGTTCGAAAGGATGCTTGCTTTCATGTTTTGATTTCAGTCAATCATAAAATCAGTTGGTGTCCTGTAGTGTTAGATCATTAATATACAAACAATCATTGTAATCTCAAAAATCTCGAAATTTGATTCAACTGCTAGTGAATTTGTTTCAAATGGTTCATACGTGATAAAACCCATAAAACCCTATTCTTCTAACCTTATTATCTCCTAAAAGTATCTTCTGAATCTTACATAGATGAAGTATTATCTTTATTTAAATTTAGACTCTCAAGTTTTATTGCCAAGTGGTTCTAAAAATAGGTCAAGTTTACCATGGTTGAACTTGGAGAAGCTGAAATTAAAATTGCTCCCTGCAAATTGCTATCATTATTGATTGAGTTGACATAATTGCAAAGGATATATTTTCTATGACGTAACTTTGATGTTGAACTGACTGACCACCAAAAATAAGCAAAAGTGCTGCAATGGCAGATCAGAAAAAATATAGATCGGTTAGGGACAGAAAGGACATACCATGATGGGCAACTAGAATGTGTTACGCTGGATAAATTTAGGTGGCAAAGATGAGTGAAAATAGAGACAGAGAGAATAGAAGAGAACACAAATAAGAATAACTGACAAAACCAAGTTTTGTAAGATTCATCGAGAATACACTGACTTACATAGCTGATGCAACTTGTATATATAAAGACTTGATACCACTCCTAATATATCCAGGAATCTATACACATATAAAGGAAAATATTACGCTGCCATTAGACCAGTTCCTTCCTCTCTCTCTCCGCAGACCCTGTTTTTATCAATCTTATGCCTTTTTGGGCTTTTTCCCTGAAATAATGAGAAACCGGATAAGAGAACAAATAAGGGTCATGATGCCATTTTTTCTTCTTATAAATATGCTCCTAAGCATATGATATTGAGAATCATAGCACATAGACCAAAGAAAAAACTGACCTAATACATCATGACAAGTTAAGACTTCATCCAAGAGAGATAGATGAAGTTATTGTTCGGACTCGTTGATCGTCTACAATGTAGACTCTACATAAACATTTTTCTCACATACATTAGAAAGAGTGCTGGTCTTGCACACTCTTCATTCTGAAGTCCTCAATCCTTGCTAGCAAGGAGTATTGCACCAGTGACACTGCACACTGTCTATTGGCAACTCCAAAAAATCTAACCACAAGCACCAAAATTATTACATAATCAGCCACAAGATTTTAAATGTTGCCTAATTTGGTACCGTTTGACCCATGTTTACTGCCCAGCCAGGAATCAGAACACAAACAGCTTAAAACTGAGTGGTCTGATCTTGTCCACTTGAAATCATTTCTTTTTTTCTTTCAAGCATGATGTGCTGGGGCTCATTAGGAGTCACAACGACTCACAAGCATCTCCTATCCATTGCTGCTGCCGCCTCCTACCCCCACTACGATACATCTCCTCCTCTTTTTCTTCCTTCTTCCTTCTTTCTCTCTTCCCCCCTCCCCCATCCCCCCTCAGCAATACCGTGGTATGTTCCAATATATAGTGTGTCGGTACATCAAAATGGACCAGACCCATATGGATCCAGCCATGGATTGGCACAGATCCGCACCCGAAATTGAAAACCTTTATCAGCAAATTATCTGGTGCATATTAGCTCTGATCACGGCTTCATATATTGCATGATACCAACCATAATAAACTAGCATATTATTTAGCAATCAGTTAATGCTGACATGTTAAACAACATTGTACTATTCCTTTATTTATATACCAAGGTATACCATATCATATCGATAAATACCTATCAGTCCAATTCTATTCCTGCATGGGAAGTGATATCAATATTTGTATCAACTCCAATTCTGTTTTCCCCTCGGTACATCATCTAAATCATTATTTCCCCATATTTATTCCTAGCAAATTCCAAAATTGTCTCCCTTGAACATCATTCATGAGAACAAGCAAAGTATGTTATTGTCAAAATCAACAACAAGTCATAGTGTCCTAGTATTTGAGGTTGGCATAAATGGTAGCCCAATGATTATAAAGAAAAGAAAATTTCATGAATTGCACTGGTCATTATTATAGAGAAAGGGTAATTAAGAAATATTATCCTAAAACAGTTAAACAAAAATTTCACAACATATTAGGGATTTCATGTACACATACCGGAAAGGACAAGGTTTATAGTTATATGAAGTTAGTTGGGAACTAAATATGATGATTGACCATTTCCATTTCCATTGCCACCTATAGAGTGGATCTCTAGATCAATCAGGTCAAACTTATTTTGGCTTATTTTTCACCAATCAACAAATCTGTGCTACTAGCTAAATATATTTAGATCAATCAGGTCTAAATATATTTAAGCTTAAAGTTAGTGGTAGTATCCTCATTTAGCCTTTATATACCAATTCAAGTTATATCCAATATGGGCTTTATAAACCAACTCAATTTTCTCATAAATCCAATGTGAAAACATCAAAATCTAAACTCGCCCAACTTGAGGCTTTACATCCTCATTAAAACCTAACATAGGCTTGAATTAAACCATAGTATAGTGCATATAAGCGTAGTAGTAGCTCCACATTATGACATTCGACCCTCATCATGCCTAATACTATGTTCATTTTGATACCATCTAACATGACTGGTCCATTAACTTGATGAACCTAAAAAATTGGTCCAAATTATTTAAGCTTAAATAAATGAGAGTACACTGATTGACCCTTTATAAACCAACTCAAGTAGTTTCTCATATCCAATGTGAACTAAGCTTGTGGTGTTACAATCTCCTCTACTTAAGGTTTAACATCCTCATCAGAGCCTCACATACCTCAGAATCAAATGGCAGAATGGTGCTTGTGAAACGTAACACAGTAGTAGTTCCATGTCGCCATGTGCCTCTAGCCCCATCCAAACAGAGCCCTTTCTTATTTCAGCCCCTCTCCATGCTAATACTAAGTCCGCTATGACAGAATTTGTCATGACCCTTAACTGACCCATTAACATCATAAGCCTAAACCAACAATATCAATATCAATAAGAAGCTATACTTTCTCAAATTCTTTTTTTCTTATATTTGTGTTCTCTTAAACTCTATAAAACAACGATTTGTGAATTGAATCGAGGCTAATTTAGGAAGATTAAGAAGAAAAACTTTCTAATCAAGAGGTATGTATTCTCTTTCTTTAATTAGAGAATAATTAAGATCTTTAATATTATGATTAGTGTGTTTAATATTTATTAATTCAAAATTAGATACTTAATAAGTCAAATATTTATATTTCATGCATATTAAATATTAAAAAATATTTATGATAGTAAAATAAGTTTAATTAGGTTCTATTAAAGTTATTGAATTCTATGATTAGTCATTTTAATGATGATTTAATCAAAATTTGTTCGATTTTATGTCAATTCAATGTGTTTAATATCTATTAGGATGTTTTCTATGTTTATAGTGTTGAAAGAGAAATAATTAGTGAGAAATTAACTATATTAATCATGTAATTAATGTATCTAATGATGATTTCATCGTAATATGAACTATATTGGATCAAAATTATATATTTAATGCTTCTTTTATGTGTTTGACATATATATGATGGTAAAATAGGTTTAATTAGATTTTATTAAAGTTATTTAATACTACGATCAGTCATCTTAATGATGATTTAATCAAAATTTGATCGATTTAATGTCTTTAATACCTATTAGCATGGTCTGCCATACCGAAGCATACCGCCCGTACCGGGCGGTACGTACCGGTCCGATGGGTTTTCGATACGCGGACTGCCCGCTACCGGGCGGTACGCCCCAAAAGCCCCCGTATCGGGCAATACGGGGCAAAATCGAGCGATAACGGTCGAAATTTCGATCGTTACCGTTCGACACCACTCGGTACCGCTCGGTACCACTCGGTAACGGTCGAAATCGATCGTTACCGCACTGTAGCAGTGCTACAGTGTTCCAACGGTCAAGTTTATGCGCGAAAGGAGAAGGGGAAGGGGAAGGCAATGGATGAATATGAACAAATACGACAGAGCATACATGATATAGACACAGAAAGAGGCTCATCGTATTATGGAGAATCATACGG